CAGGGCGAGAACGCCAAGGGCAACGCGCTTTGATTGCTTGGCAATGCCTGAGCAAACCTGCTAGTCCATCTTGAAAAGTGCTTCACGCTGCAGGGGCCGGCGAGTCTGCATACTTTCATATACTGTCTGTCCGATTTGGAGCGAGGTGATTGCTTCTTTTTGCTCGGGTCAGCCTCCCCTCCTGCACCTTTGGGCTAGCACACAGTAACAAACCAATCCGCGGGGAAATGCCATCGTAAATGACTGCATGGGGCTTGTGTGGGTAGACGTGCCTGACAGGGGCAAGACCAGGAGATGGATTGCATGAAGCATGACTGTGCAAAATAGGTTTATCGTCCTGGCTTTGTGGATAAAGGCATGTTTACGCTGTCTTGACCACTTGCACAGAGCCGAGGCACATTCGGGAATCTCGTATGCAATCCAGAAAGATGATTGGCGGACTCGGAAGGCTTCCAGACTTCGCAAACCGAGGCGCAAAATCCTGCGTCTCTTCCTGCACCCACGGCGAAGGCAGTCTCTCTTGCCTAAAGTTCCTAAAGCCTGCATGTGGCCAGGTGACATGGCCCTTGCAGCACTGCTTAACCCCAGCACTTGTCTCCATGATAAACCACGGTCAGTATGGTCTAGGAAGAGCCACAACCTGCGGCACGGCTGTTTGGGAATCAAAAGTATGTCACTTCTAGTGCGAGGGTTCGGGATGGCCCGTCAGATCGAATCGCGCCGGGTGCGTCTAGTAAGTCGTGCCGTCCCAAAGTCTGGACTCTTTCTGTTTCAAGGCCTCCAATTGTGCACCGAGCACGGAGACATGTTGGGATTGGGGTCCGGGACCCGTCATTCAGAAAGGAGGCCTACTGACACCTGCAAGTGTTAGTAATCGTTCGTAATCTGATGGATGTCGATGATACAGGGATATAGAGGGCATTTACGTGAGGTCAGCCTAGCTGTGAGAGTGGAAAGGAGGCCTCAGCGGCTGCGAGCCCGACTTATTCATGCGAAGGCTCCTACGACTGCTCCACCTACGCAGCTGGTGCTGAGACCACCTTCGGCACAACGAACAGGCCAGTTCGGGGAAACTTATGCTGCGTGGCCGCAACTTCTCAATGTTGTTTGTAGCCCACACACCTTGCCCTGCTCTGCAGGAACGATGCGTCGTCCTTCAACGGCCTCCGTTCACAGTCAGATGCGAAGGGTGCAGCCGCCGGACCCTGAGATGGCGTGGCAGCTGTTGAGACAAACATAGACCCGAGATGAGCCTCAAAGCCACAGAGTTGGTGGGAGTTGCTGCTTCCTTTCTTGAAGGGTGCACAAGTTGTGCTTTTGAGCACAAGGCATGTGGCATTCCTCAACACACGGAAGTGATTAAGGTCTGAGACACGATGGACCGCTGAGGAGACTCTGCAGGGGCATCCTTGAAGTCCGAAAAGCCATGTTGGTGCGCAGTCTTTTGACACCCTCGTCCTTACACGCTGTTTGAGCCGAGTCAGTGATAGATAGTGTTTCAGGACCGACTCTCTTTCCGGAGCTTGCGCATGGGTGCTGCTGGCGCCTCCTGCCTGGCGATGTCACGTGCCCGGAACAATCCTTTAGAAGAATGGCAGTGTACTATTTGCATATATACATACATACATATACATATAGCGTATAGTGTATATGTAGGGCATAAAATATGCACATATATAGTAGGTACACAGTGTGTGTATGTATGTATGTATGTATGTATGTATGCATGCATGTATGTATGCATGCATGCATGTATGTATGTATGTATGTATGTATGTATGTAGGAAGAGGCCCTCAAACCGCTGAGCGAGTCGCTGTCTACGATTGATAGCACCACCGCGGGGGCAGCCCGCGACCTCTCCAACCACGTGTGGGAGAGTGGAGGCCGGCACCAGGCCATGGAGACAACGCTCTCTGGGGTCCATGGCATGGTGCGCGATCTTCAGAATCGCGTTGGGACCACCCAACGTAAGCTTGACGATTGGGTCAAGAGCTGGTCGGACAGCTCGGGGACCACTTTGGACGACAGCCCAGGAGTTGTCAAATGTCTTTGTCAGCTCAGAGAACATCAGGATGAATTGGCCCGGTACAACCAGGCCAACGAGGCCCTGACCTTGAAGGTAGACTCGGTGGCAGAGTCAGTCGGGGCGATTGCCACCCGCGTCCAGAACATGCAAACTCTCCTTGACAAGATGGCTGCAGCACGCCCTAAAGCTCCACCACCGGCATTCCCGGCACCCGACATCCCGTCGACCGAATCCGCCGGGCCCCCGCCCCACCAACCCCCAGGGAGTTGGCATACCCCGACCCAGATGCCAAGCTCCGCACCCGCCGGCCCCTCACCGGCCCCGCAGGGGCTCCCCCTCACCACGCCGCCGGCATATATCCCCTCCATCGGAGCCACGATCCAAGCTTCGCCCGGCGCCCCTCAGGGAGTGCCGCCAGGGGCCAATGTGATCAACCTCAGTCCTCCTGCGCAACAGGACACTGTCACCGTATGGATGGACGGCCGTGCATTCCAGATCCCGACAACAATGGTCAGGGGGATCAACTGAACTTTGGTAATCTTTTGCACTGTTTTTGGGCCCTGGCCTCTGGCCCCGCCCCCTTGTAACATATGCACTGCCTGGTCACTGTACGCACCCCTTGAAAGAGATTGCTTTGCCACAGGCTAAGTGTTTTACCGGAGTGTGATGCCTAGTGTCCCTGCGCTGAGGAGATCTGGTCAGAATGCTGCAGCTTTCCCCAGACTGAAAATTACATGTTAGCATGGTACTGTCAAACCCTTGCACTGTTTTTGGCACTGCCTGCACTGTTTTTTGGGCTTCCTTCCTTGCCCTCCTTTCCCTCCGTTTTTTCTCTCTGCTTTGTGCCACTGCTGCTCCACCTTATGTCGTCTGTCTGTCGATGCATCCTTGATGGGTGATGATGATGTAATTTCACGACACAATGACGACGAAGACGACAGCAGAGGGTATATCCCCCCCGAGACTGCACCCTGGCATGTGCGGAACCGCGGGGAGCCTAGTAGTCGTAGAACCCTAACCCCCTCGCCATGGCTGGCAGTGATGACTGCCTCAGGTTTCATGAGACAAATCTGCAGAAGGCCTCGCTTCGGTACAGCTGCAAACAGGTGAGGCCTGACGTGCTACCTCTGAGTGGGCCCTGCCGTTATTTGCAGGGCAAGAGAATGACGAAAGCCGACGACTGCACCGGGACCGAGATGATTAGTGTGCTGCCTCTGCATAGGCCCCGCCGCGACCGCAGTCCATGTGAGCCATGTCTTTTTGCGGCTACACAGACTGCCGCCGACATGGGATACTTTGGTGCAAACTTGGGCAAGCTCCTGATCTATTCAGTGTTCGTGACAGCTGTTGACAGTGAGCGCGCTGCCTCTGTACGGCCCCGCCGTTATTCTGGTATATGCGAGCCATGACAGTCGATACCTGCACTGGGTCTGAAACGATGGGTGTGCTGCCTCTGCATAGGCCCCGCCGCTATCCACAGCCCCATGCGAGCCACGTCTTTTGTGGCTACAAGGGATGCTGCCAACACGGGACACTTTGGTGCAAAGTTAGGCAAGCTTGCTCCTGGCATAGAGGAGACCTCGCCGGGAGATCCTTTTATCTGTTTTCACTGGCGATACACGATGATGCAGCGGCAATGAGCCCAGTTGACAGTGTGTGCTTGCTACGTGGGCTGTGTCCATTGCTGACTTGGGATGCGAGACAAACTGGAGTGGGTTGCATGGACCAGTTGCATGCCTGGCGCATGCGAACAGAGTGGAGTCTGTGGGAAGGTATTGCTTTCCTGCGACATGCTGGTGCAAGGGTACGGGCTTCTCCGTCCCTGGGCGTCTCTGTGAGCCATGGAAGTCGGCATATAGCTTGTTTTTCTCAATGGGACTGGGGCTGGATGCTAGCAGTGGACATGTTCGCCATCGTCATTGTTGGGATGATTCCGCTGCTACTTTGACGGGGGGTCGTCACCGGCCAGCCATGCGGGTCGTGCGCCGCTGGGCGAGGGGAGGTTAGCCTCGTCCGGAATGAGAAGACGAGTGAGTCCACGAGGGCTTAGATTGCGGTCTTGAGCAAGAGGAGAGAGTGCACTTCCTGTTGTCGTCTGCTGATGGCCTCGCGAAAATTGCATGTGCTGTGAGCCGTTGACCCCTCTGTCTCGAAGCTGAAGCTCTTGTTGTCTGAAGGTTTTGTGCTCGGAAACAGTACTGACGCTGGCAAAAATTGCTTGCTGGAGCCTATGGTCGAAATGACCCCGGGTGACTGTGCTTTTGTTGGCCTCTGGCCCATTTGTCGTCTGGTTCCCCCTACACCTCGCCTGATGCGTCGAGCGCGAGTGCTAAAAAATGTATGTATGTATGTGTGTATGTATGTACGTATGTATGTATGTATGTACATACGCCTGATTCGTCGAGCGCGAGTGCTAAAAAAAAGTATGTATGTATATAAAAAATAAATGTATGTATGCGATCTCCCGGCCGGGCCCCGACACAGGCAGCTTCGAGGCAAGAGCTTGACCAGGTTGGACCTGAGCCACTGGTCAAAACAGAGCAGCATTGCGCGCTACGAATAGATTTCATGTCGGAGAGCTGTTGCAGAACAACGCAGACGGGTGATGTAGAGCTGCTAGATGCAGCTGCCAATTTTTCTCCTTTTGCAGAAGCATGCCGATGAACTTGACAACAGCTGAGAGGCGACAATCAGTTGGGAGACAATTCTGCCGCAGCTATTGCAAGTCTGATCCACGGCCTCCCGCAGCTGAAGAGCATTTTGCTGGCAGGAAACATATTGGGAGCCTTGCCTGAAAATGAGAGCCCAAATTTGAGATCCCACCAGCTTTTCGGAGACTTCAGATTTCAGAGCCCCCACTGGGTGGCATGTCCCATGCTGGCTGTGCGGAATGCCAGCAGCTCGATTTCTTTGGGTACGTCGGATGGGTCTTGATAGTCTTGCTGTGTATCTGTACACACGATGCAGTCGGGGAGGAGAAGGACAAGAAGGTGACGCTATAGTGAACGCAGAACAGGCCCTGGTGGTATGATTTTGGTCCCAGTGTGCCTTGATGTGACTATCAGAACCAGGCAATCCTGGGCTCAAGGAGATCGCGAACTCGGAGCTGCAGACCAACGGGATGCCTGGGTCTGAACGAAAGGGCCAGAAGATCTCGGCCTATGTCCCGGGCCCCGTCTCACATCTCAGTCCCAGGTTGGAGCAGCTGGCGCTAGGCGAGCCACCTCCTGGCTACAGCACCGTGATCAAGACAGCTCGCCAGCGGCCGAACCACATCTCCACAGAAGGCCTGGCCTGTCATTGCCGCGAGTCCCACCAGAAAGAAGAATGAACATGCCACATTGACCTTCATCGGCCATCCTAAGTGCCCCGCCGGTTCTCCTCGCCCAATCGCTCGTTCCACTTGATCTTGTTTAACCACCATGGCCGCCTTAGCCTTGGACAACCCAGCTTCTGTTTAGTAGGCACGTATGGAAGCGAAAGCAACTCGCAGACAGGCCTCGAGTCGCTGCTGGCAGCTCTGAGCCGCAACCCAAATCGGCGTCTTGCAGCTCTGGCCGCGGGACGCATAGCTCTTCGGGCAGAGGCAGGTCAAGCGCTGTCGGCCCCATGGCAAGACCTTGCACGAGAGTGCTGTGTGACACTTCTGTTAATTCATCAGCGGCTTCAGAGCCCCCCCAAACGAACCTAGTTTGCCCCTGTTTGCCTTAAGTTGAGTATTGAGATTCATGTACCCCTATTTGCGCGTGTTTGCCCATTCCTTTCCTGCGCTTACTTGATTTCTCTTATGTTCCCCCTGTTTGCTCTTACTCACACGCCGTTACTTACAGCCGAAGGACTGCCTCAGGCATCTCCTGGGCAAAACTGCTGTAGTGCGGTGAGGACTGTTTGGAACGTGCTTGCACGGTGACTATGTATCCATGGTTTATGTCTCCCGGATCTCAGGCATTCCTAATGGAGGATTCAGTCCTTACGAGCTTGGATGTGCCGCCGCCCCAGTCGTTGACAAGTAAAGGTGCAGGATCAAGCCGATACGGTTTTGCGACTGCCTCGCCTTACAGCACGAACTAGCCGAGTTCCATGGGAACAAACAGCATAGAGTTTCGATGTACGAAGAGCAGTACGCTCGGATGTCGTGCCGCGCAGTCGACATTTCAGTCCTAAGGTCCTCCAATGCATTGACATCTGAGGGCATCTCTGCTTTGCTGCCGAGTTGCGCAAAGCTACAGATGCTGGAGACCTTGTAGCCACAGTGTCTGAGGGTCATGTATGACCATGTTTTGCCATGATGATGGATGGTTGTGCTGGCTGCTTCAAGCAGGGTCCTTGCATTCATAATACACAATAGCTGAACTTGAGCGGCGCAGGACATCTCTGAAACGGGGTGTCGAGGAGAGCTTATCCACGGTAAGCTGTGTGAGCTTTTGCAGCGGCTTGGCTGCACGGCTTTTGGCTGGTTGTCGCTTGCACATTTTGGCCACAACGAGCGGACCGGTCTTCCGCCTGTGCTTCAGGAAAGCGGACCGCCTGGCGTCCCTGTCCATCGCTCACAACGTTCTCGAGCCGCGGCCGATGCGCCGCATTGCTCGCAGCATCTCCTCCTGCGCGTCGCGCCTTGCTTTACCAGAGCTTTAGGGCCAAGCTTGCCTTGGATTCTCGGGTCTTCCTGTCGGCAGTAAATGTTACCATGCTTGCTACCTTGGATCGGTCGAGGGTCAGACAGTCCTTGTCCTGTCTGGTGGATGTTTTTTTGAACTTTGGATCGCTTGAAGTCTAGGTTGCTGTCATTAAACATCGCTGGCACAGCGATTGAGACAGAGGGCGTCCTGGCCTTGGCAGAGACTCGGCAAAACTGCCCCGACAGCCCTGCAGTGAAAGACTGACCGTAGCCTTGCATGAAAGGCCTGTTGCCAGACATGTGAGCCGTTAGCAGCAGCATGCATGTAGGACGGCTTGCTGAACTCCCACACCACGTGCTTGCGCGAGTTGGACATGTCCGAGAATGGTATCTCGGAGGCTGAGGCTTGCGACCCGCATCATTCCCGATGATTGGCAAAATCAAGCGATGCAGTGCAGTGCTGTAGACGGCAAGCTTCTTCTCGGCCAGAGGCACTTGCTAGCCTCGGCAAGATCATCGCGGGCACAGCGTTGCAGACTCTGCGATTGAATCGGAATCCTCTCGGCAATGCAGGCCACAGTTCAGGAAGAGATACCTGGACAATGGCCACTAAGTATAGTTTTCGCCGTAGAAACTATTCGTTTATGGTACTGTCCACAGCACCAAACAGGAATTTGTCAACTTGCAGATTCGCTGGATGCCGACAGTTGCTCCTTGGCCGTGAGACCCTCTCTTTCGAGCTTCTGGTAGGTGTCAGTTTGTTGAAACCCGAAATGCATCCTTTGGTAGTTTAGGCGTACCCTTTTTTCTGCAAGCCTAGGCTCTCCAAAACTATTGCCACTAGTATTGCTGCGCATACGCAGTTGCAACACTGCTGCGGCTACTATGGCAACAATGACAGCTACAACTGCTTCTGCTCGACTACCTACTACTGACTACTTGCTACTTACTAGTGCTGTTACTTACGACGACCACGACGACCACTGCCACCACCACCACCACCACCGCCACCACCTACTACCAGTAGGACCTACTACTACTACCACCTACTACTACTACTACGACGACGACTACGACGAAGACTGCGACTTCTTGGACGACTACTACTACTACTACCACCAGCATTACTACGACTACTACTACTACTACTACTATTACTACTACTACTACTACTGCTACTACTACTACTACTACTACTTCTCTTACTTCTACTACTATTATGACTACTACTACGACTACTACTACTACTACTACTACTTCTACTTCTTCTACCCTTATATGTTGCAGCTGTTTGGATGCCAGTCCGAGATGGTTGTCCATATCGAAGGTCCACCGGATGGTCCAGTACTTCGCACACTAGAGCTGGGAAGTTGCCGTATTGGCCGACCAGGGGCAACCTTTCTTTTGATTCGTTTGAGGTGCGGCATGGTGTTTAGCAAGTTTCAACAGATTGTACCAGGCATGACGTTTCAAAATGTTCCAAACATTACAATGACGGTGTCGCTTTCAAAATGTTCCAAACATTACAATCACGGTGTCGCCCTGGCAGGGACAATCGTCGCCTTCTACAATTGAGGTTGCAACTTGACATTCCGTTTCATTGCACAGAGCTCGCTGCCCCCGTAAAATTGCCTAGGTCATCAGGGAATAACAACTGCGGTATGCCCTGCCTAGGTCAGACAACTTTCTTGATGATTCTCTTGACATGACGCACATTGAGGCAGCCTCTCTTATTTACTATTTTACGAGGCTTCCTCCATAGCGAGCCGAATGCAGAGCTCGTTGCTGTCGCGCGAATCCGTGTTCTACCTGAGCTGTAAGTGTGAGATCAGGCTTTGCGATACATGCAGTACCTCCACCTGGACAGCAACAGGCCAGTTACGCTTCGGTGGTTTCCGCGTCCTAAGCCTACGTTCCGATTTCTCTTTGCTGGAGGCTTTCCCTCCGCAATTTGACACGAGCCAGCCGAGTTTGCGCCAAGAATCGCTTCAGAGTCCAGGATCAGGAGATTCCTGCGAAGATAGTGGAATGACTGACCGAGCTGAGTGTTCGTCGCTGCCCCCGTCCGTCCAGGAGCCTCGAGCACTGCGGAAAGAGATTCGGCACTTGCAGGTTGAGGAGGTGAAGCTTCGAGAGCACAAGCATCAAGCCGCCAAGGACGCGTTGGCTTCGGACAAGAAGTAGAAGGTAGAAGCATGTCTGTCGTTCATTGAAGTTTCGAACTGTGTTTCGTGCAGTGAGCTTCATTGGAGCTGGCGGGCGCAGTGTGCAGCCTGAGACTTCTCAACTCCACCACAGCCGACACATCCTGGCCGCCAGGACTCTGCAGAGATTTTCGTCCGAATGAGCGCAGAGAACATTGCCGCAGAAGAGCTTCGACAGCTGCGGCTGGGGATGCTTGACTGCGCGCTGCAGAGGGCAAAGGACGTTCCTGTGCATGTTCTAGTCGTTGGGAGTAGCACCTGCCCCGCTAGTGCTGAAGGTGTCCACCTGAGTGTCACAGGTGCAGGGACAAAGCCTTTTCCCTTTTTGCAATCAGACGGTTGCAAAGGATGGTCACTATGAAACTGAAACCACTGCATCACGATCGGCTTGCTAAGGATCATGAAATCTGCTCGTCAAACTGAGCAAAAAGTCGCAAGTGTGGAGCAGAAGCTGAAAGAGCGAGAAGCGTACATGGAGAAACTCAAGGACAGGATGGAAGCGCCCTGCAACTCATTCCATGTGCTAGCAAACTGAATTCGTTGTGCAATGCAGGGTGTTGGGACGCATGTTCTTGCTCTGTCCAGAATGAAGTCCGTGCATGAAAGCATCAGGAAGAAAGACCCGGGCCTCATGCTGACGGCTAATGGTGTAACGTGCTGTCAGGATGCCCTTGAGCAGACAGCACACGAGAATGAACTCGCATCTTGGCGTTTAGCGAGAATTTTGGGGGTGGCAAGAGCTGCCAGCTCAGGCCATCGCCGAAAAGAGACACGATCTGGAGGACAAGGAAGCAGAGCTGACGGAGACATGGCATTGAGTTTTCAGGGACCCTTCGTGTTCCCGACCAGGGCGGCAGAAAGCCCTCCGCCTCTAGCCCAGGAGCTGCAGGCGCGGCTCCGCGACGTTGAGGCCCAGCTGGCCAGGCGACGTGCCCAGCACCCGAAGCAGGTGGCAGCGCCTGGGATCTCAAAGCCTTGTGTGAGTGCTGAAAGTCTTGTGTAACTTATGTAGGAGGATGTGGAAAGCTCTTTGACTCTAATTCTGACGTTCCGGGAAGTCAGCATTTCAGCAGTGAGATGTGGATTAAGTTAGGCCAGGTGGAAGTCGACACCTTCGTCATTGTAAGTGATGTGGTTGATTGTTTCTGGTAGCGGGGTCTGCTGATCCATTTAAGGAGATCAACGAAGAGATTTCTGCTGCTTTGCCGAAGACGGAGGCACGCCGTCTGAGCCCTGAGCCATGCCCCGAAAAGAGCAGTCGGCATCTCGAGGCCACATGATCTCCCTGTGGTCCACTTGTAGCTGTCAAGCTTCTGTACCGAAGCTGAGTGCATGTTGAAGCATCGGATCCGGACAAGAGGCTCGTACTGGTACCCTTTGATTGCGAAGTGCAGGAGTTCAAGTCCAACCAGGAGGAAATGCGGAAAGAGTTAAAGAAGCTCCAGGCCCCCTTGGGGTTTTGCCCACTCTTCAGTGATGGCTTTGCTCTAAGTGCCAACAGCCGGCGAGCACAGCGCTGGGTGTGCATGTGTTTCTGCTGGGACCAGCTCATGCATGTTCTGCCACTGTCTGCAGAACGCCGAAACACGGACAAGGCAAAACAACTCTTGGAGACCTCCGAGGAAGGAAAGTCCCATGCCAGAGTAGCCCCTGACTTGTCACTGAGGAGAAGACGCTTATCGACTTCAAGCCTTGAGGTCAAATTTCTCAGGTGAAAGGCTCCACAAGCCGGACATGTCTAGTTCCGTTTCGAAGGCGCAGGCAAAGCGCATGGCGAGAGCTGTGCATCCTGCAAGTTGTGTTTCGATACCAGGCGGAGATGCAAGATGCATCACCCTCACACTGAGGATCAGAGCATGCTGCACCAAAGCAGATGCATGGTTTTATACCTCAAAGCACGTAGTTCAGTACGTCAAACGCCTAGTTTCTCCAGCTCGACCCACCACTGCTTTGGTGCTGAGATATGCGACTACTCCCTACTCTTCATTATGAGTTCAGATCCGGAGTTTCCAGAGCACGAAAAGCAGGCGTTCATGCAACGCAATCGCTCCGGGTAGTGAGCAGGCAGGCGCTAGGCCTCTAGTTTGGCCAAGGCGACACATCAAAGCTGGCCAGGGCCAGCACTTCTGCTCTCAAAGCTGAGGCAGTCTGAGGGGGTGCGTTTAGTCGCCTCCACACGCAAAGCCATGGCCATGCCTGCTGAGAGGATCGATGCCTCCGACTTTGAAGTGAACGGGCGGCTGTCCGACGCCCGCCGAGCAAAGCTGATGGACTTGAAGAAGAGGGAAGACTTGAAGGATCAGCTGACTGAGAAGTTCAAGAACCGTTTCGGACATGGTGCCTGCAAGGAAGCTGACGAGGTGTCTGTGAACTCAGCCATGATCCGAAAAGAAGTGGAAAACTTTGCACGGAAGGCGCCAGTCACAAACAGCAATCTCGATCGCTTGGAGCGTCGCATCCAAAGCCGTGCCCAGGGAAGGGCATTGGATGATGCTTCCACCGTCTCCAAGGCTATCAGTGGTGTGAGCCAGTACACTGGCTTGAGCCAGCGAAGCCGTAGTGCTACCTCCTTGGTTGGGCAACACCTCGTCGCTCCGAGACGGAAGCATGACTGGTCCAAGCTTGATGACTATGCTTCGTACTTGCATGAGCAGGATGCGCTTCGTCAAAAATTGGGCGTCCAAGCGCTCCAAAGGAAGATGAAGTTGGACTTGGATGCCCAGGTGCAGGACAAGCTGAAGAGAAGGGACGAGGCATTAGAGGAGGAGAAGAAGCATCACGAAAACACGCTGCTTGAGCTTGAACGCTGGAAGCAGCAAGAGAAGGAGCGAGAGGAAGAGAGGCATCAGCGAATCCAGAAAGAGAAGGAGGACCGTGATGAGCAACTCCGGTATGAACGACTTCTCAAGGACCAGGAAGAGCAACGAAAGAAGGATGAGGAGGCACAGCTAGTGGAGAAGATCGTCAATGAGATGGAGGCAGACCAGAAGCGATTCGAGAAGAAGAAAGAGCAGACCAAGCGGGCCATGCGCAAGGTCTTCGAGCAGAACAAGCAAGATCAGTTGAAACGAGACGAGGCTGCCAGAGAGGCCAGGGAGAAGGAGGCAGCAACGATCAAGGAGTTCAATCGGCTCCTGGATGAGCAGGAGGAGGCCAAGGCCAAAGAGCTCCACGACCGTATGGCTCGGCAGGCAGATCTCATGAAAAAGCTTCAGGACAATGTGAACACCATGAAGCAGGAGTCGGGTGACACCGACGAAGCCCGTGCACGTGCACAGCAGGACGAAGCCGATCGACATTATTTTGAGGCCGAGTCTATTAAGCAACAGCGGCTCAAGCAGATGAAGCTCGAGAACCAGGCTTACCTCCTGAAGCAGATGCACGAGAAAGACGGCCGCAAAGATGATGACAAGTATTTGACCGCAATCCAGGCCCAGATCATGGATCGCGACACGCAAGAGTTCAATGCAGTGGAGAGGAAGAAGGTCATCGATAGGAAAGAACGCAGCTTGGCAAACCAGAGAGAAATCATCAAGCAGATGGAGTGGAAGGCGGCACAACGTGAGATTGAAATGTCTGACACCGAAGTTGCATTGAACAAGCCTTTGCTCGAGCTTGTGGACCGTACACTCGACCAGCGAGATGAGAACATGGAGCTGGTCGCACAGATCGAAAGCTGAAGGACAAGATGTAGTTCGGAATTTCGTTTCAGCTACCAGTGACCAGGCTGGTGGCTACAAATGCTTGGCTGGGAAGACATCAACCGAGCAATTCGTATCACTCTCCGGCTTCGCCGCGACTTAGGATTTGGCTTATGTCACCCTTGTGTTCAGAGTTTCACACTCAAAACTCACAACCACTGTGAACTTGCACGCGCAGCAAAACTATTGGAAGCGCAGAACCTGCAGCCGAAAACGCGAGTTTTGCAAGGCGACTGCCCATCTGCATCTTTTGTTGTCGAACCAGTCTGCCTGGTAGCCTTGGAACTTGAAAGATATCTCCGGTGTCAGGGTGACAGCCCCCACAGTCCTCGCATTCGAAGCCCTCGGAATGGTGATGCCCGGTCCTCACAAGGGTCATTACAGACCGCAGTGGAGTGTCGGTGTTGCTTCCCGTGTGCCTGAACTGTCAGATGTGGCCCGAGTATGTCGGCGTCTTCTTCGGTTTGTGTGACACCCGCGTCGTCTTGGGAAACTCTGGCAATCGACTCTCGAGCGCCGCGGCTTCAACCAGAGCACAGTGTACTGTAGGCGATGCACAGGGATGAATCCTTGCAGAAGATAGCTTGGAGGGAATGTGAGTAAAGACTAGCAGCTCCAATTCAAGGCGAGTGATTTGCCTCACTGGTTTGTAGATTCGTCCTTTGCTCGATGCGAGGTTACGTGTGCGCCGTACCTTGGCTTTTCTGGCTAGTCTGAATTGGCGCAGGAGCTTCGCTTCTGTTGCGTGTATAGCACATCAGACATGAAACGAAGTGGAGACGACTGACCGTGCAATACCATTCGATTGATGAGGTTCGTCTCGACATCTTTGACCCGCAGTCGGCAATGTGGATGACAGTCCTCGAGAATCCCGCGCAGGAGTAGCTGTGAGGGCAAGATCCCGTCTCGCCACCACAGTCCACGTGCAGGAGCTCACGCCAGGTGGAGCGCTGCTGGGATCACACGAAGCCATAACATTCCACCGTTTCAAGGCGAGCTCGGACTAGGGCCTAGGGATTGCAATGTGAGTCGAAACTTTGACAGGAGTTGGTGAGCTCCGGCGTTAGCCACGACCGAAAACTCCTAGTGAGAGTTATGGTGCGGGGCACCTATGTGCATCTATGTGCTGCAGGTTGCGCCGTTGACTCGGATGCCAGGGATGCTCATGTCCTGCCGTCAACACGCCGAGGTCTGACATCGGTTGCTTGCGGCTGCAGCAGTTTGAAGATACTCCTCCCACGCAGTACGGGAGTTATTAAATCGAGAGTGTGGCAACCACCTCGGCATGAGTCATCACCTGCAGGGGACGACTGGATCTTTGTATTGCAGGGTTGATTGTTGTCAGTAGGTGCGGACTCTGCTGCCCATGGCTTTCCAAACACCCCACGCGGTGTTGTTTCAGGCTTCCGTTTCGAAGGCTGTCAATTATGTCAATGCCAATTGCTGATCAGAGCCTGTGCAAGCCTCTGCTTCAGAGGACGAAGTCCACCGAGTTGACAGTTCAGAAAACAAGACGAACTTCTGGACACTTACTCGGTATTCGTCCCCTGTGTGCCAGCATGAACTTCCAGCAAACGCCAAGCAGAATGTGGAGCCAGTGAAGTCTTCCTCGACACTGCACTGTTTCATACTCCAAATGGAAGACCTACATTTTGGCTTCTAGACCTCACTGCTCTGCACAATTGGTTGCAAACAGTGCAGCCAGTCAGGTAGGTGCATGCGTTGAACAAGGGGCCGAAATCCTCGGCTCAAGCGCACTCTTCGTATCTTCTCCTTAGGCAAGTATCTTCAACAACCGCACCCATGCTTTCGGATTGTTTTGCTGCGAAGATTTGCTACTAAACTTTGCCAGTGTCCCTCTCATTGCACCGATTTAACATGTAACTGCTAGCAATGTCCGTGCGATTGATTCGTAGCCAGTACGAGTGACATCCAGCGGCTGATGTCGAAAAGGTTCTTTCATCGTCAGTTCTGCCCATCGTGCCAGATGGCGCATGCGATAGGACCAAGAAATAGGTCAAGGAGAGCAGGACAGACTGGCTTGCATAGGTGCCTTGCCCGTAGCCAACTTCGAGAACCGGCGCTTACGCTTGGTGCAGCCAGATGATGCCGTAGGAAGCCGGGAGCCTGATCACATTCTGTCACCAAGTCAACAGCAACGAATAAGCAGTCGAAGGCTTTCTTCACCTGGCCCTCCCGAACCTCGTCATCCACGAAATTGACCAGTCGAGCCCTTTGTGCCCAGAGGCACACAGGGTCGATGCACAACTCTGATCTGCATGCTCAATGCATAACGGCACATCCTGTTGTGAAAGGCAAAGAGAGCCACCTTCCCAGGCCACATCGAGAGACAGAGCCGCCTCGTCCGATTTCGCAAACGGAGAGTAAATGCCGAAAACCTTGTCGGTTTCCCGCAGCAGAATTGGAACTTGTAGACTGTGGCCTCGCAAAAGGCCCATTCGTGCCTAACCCTGACCACAATGCTTCCAGTGGAGCACTCAGATACGCAATGTTGGCAGGACAGCTGTGAAGTTGCAGAAGTTGTGCCATGGTTTCTGCTAGAGCTGAACAGCAGGCTCCTCCACCTGCAAGGCATGGTCCTTGACAAAGTATCAGATAGAGGCAGGACGGCAAGAAACTGCAAACGTTGTTCTTTCCGAAAACTGATCCTGCACCACGGTTAGGAACATCTCAGCCAAAATCGCGTCGAGGCAAAGCTTTGGGAAGCAAGGGGCCATGGGACCACTGTATGCTAGGAATGCCAGACTCAGGCAGCAGGAATCAGCAAATCACCGGTGATTAAGCAAGTTGGGAGTGGATGGCAGGTCGTCTCCTTGATCGAGGGAATGGAGCCCATTACATCTGCATGCACACAGGGACGTATGTCCTATTGCTACGTGCTGGAGGCCGGTGGGAAACATGAAGGAAATCGCAGCAGAACTACCTGAGCAGTGCCATGCCATGAACTGCCTTTATTATCATCTCCAGCCTACCGAAACATATGTGATTCAATGTTTCTTGTCATCATTGCTTACACTGATGTAGTTATGCGGGCAAAGCCAGGATGTGCTGTTTGATTGCGCGTTTGCCCCCTGCGTGATGCGTCATCCTGGCTGCACTTCGGCCTTGCCTTTTTCTGCAATTGCCTTGCCCGAGGAAGTGCAGCATGCATGCCTTTTGTCAAACGCTGCGGCAGAAATGCCAGGTGATCCAGCTGGCACACTTACGGTGGATTTCAACCGCTTTCAGGACAGGTGCTTTTGATACAGCGGCCCGCAGGATAGGAACGGCTGCACCCTGACGTGACCAGGAGTTGATCCCTGCTCCGGCAGCACAGTCAATGTACGTCCGGCGCTTTGCACTCTCGCGCACGGTTTCTTCCACTACTTGGGAACTTGGCTCACCCAAGGAGATCCTGCCCGGAAGCTGTGGAGGCTGACATTGCCCGCATGAGGACGTGTTCCATGTCATGCCGGCCGCGGACATCGAGCGAAGAGACAAAAAGCTCCGTGCGCAATAGTTCCGAAATGCTAACGTATGCCAAGCTGTTGCGGCCTTTGCCAGGGCGCCTGAATGTATCCGTGCATGCAAGAGGTACACACGTGGTTTCTTAATGAAGGACAAAATAGACTTTAATTCCTTACTGCAATGGAGGACCAAGCGCCACTTCACGTTTCGCCGTCGTTGCCATACTGTGTCTTTGACTCGTCACCCCGGTGAATGGAAATGTTCCACCGCATTGTTTGACAGAGCCCCTCTGTAAAGGTAATGTCATGTGGGTTGGGCGCAAATTCAGAGCATCATGCGTTGAGCTTCGGCGAAAGATCAGCCACTCGTTGCTTGGGGTAAATACTGCGTAGACAAAGGTGAGCCCCCCAAGTCAGCCTGATGTCAGTTGCGAACTCGGATTTGCTGGTCAGCACAGACCCCCGTCACCCGAGGAATGAAGCCGCCCCAACTACAAGTAAGGACATGGCAAGGGCTAGGAGACCGCGTTGCACGCTCATGCAGATGCGTTCTGCATTCGCAACTTTTCTGTAGGGAGTAGAGTTTACACGCAGAGCCAGGAGATCAAGCTTGTCCACGACTTCTTTAATTAATCAAGCCCAGGATTACTTCTCAGGTGCCAGAGCGTCGTCCACTCTGGTCGGCCCTGATCATGTTAAAGTCAGTTTGCCATTGCCGCCAAAGGCTCGTTCGAGCCGACACAAAACAGCCTAAACCTACTCAAGAGCACCCGACAGCAAGCCACGTGCCACTTCGCAGAGCATTAGGTTTCGGTATTGGGGCTAACTAGGACAAGCAAGCAGCGCCCGCCATGTCAAAGCATGACGGGGAAAGTTTCCGCGTGGTTCACAAACGTGTCGCGGTCCGAGCTCTGCCCTCCACAACTGCAGAGATCGTGGGCGTTGAAGCCCTCGGAGCCGTAATCTCCGGGAAGCGTGTTCAGGTGAAAGGCGAGCTCTGGGTGCGAAGAGATCTGAACAACCGGGAAACGTGGATGCTTGTAGACGGCTCTAGGTTGGGCCTGGGGAGGCTGCTTGAAGCGATAACGGTCCCATCGGCCCCTCCACCGGTCAAGAGTGAAAAGAGGGAGGCCAAAAGTTTCACAAGCACCGCAAGCAACCCAAGCCCGAGCACTCAGAAAGTTCCGATCGAGTTGATCGGCGAGAGACTGTGGCATTCGCCACTGCATGAGCTGCCCAGGCCTGAGTGGGCACCTCGACACGGCTACTATGCCTTATCAGGCGGTTTGTCTGCAACTGGTTGGCGCAACATCTGGGTGTTCGGAGGCATCATTCCTGGCCTGGGCTACTCTGATGACGTGTGGCGCACCGTGAACGGCGGTGCCAGCTGGGAGTTAGTCGTTGCTGGGATTCACTGGAGCCCAAGATCTGACTTCGGCTGTTGCGGTGGCTCCACTGCACCTGAGCCGCGACCGAAAGGAGTAATTTACATCGTCGGAGGCCAGGGAGGTCCGGGATTGCTGCCCGATGTTTGGGCCTCGGACACCGCTGGCAGGAAATGGTCCCGCATGTGCGAGAAGGCACCGTTCGGCTCCCGTACGGGAGTTGCGTGTGCCACGGTACCCTCACGCCCTCTGGTGCTGCTCGTAGCCGGCGGCGTCTCTGACGACGTTCATCGCGACCTATGGGTCAGTCAGGATGGGGGTGCAACTTTCGATTGTCTCATGCTCACCATGCCAATCGGTCCAACATTAATGAAGTGGCCTCCACACTTACTCTGCGCTGCCAGAGCACAAAGTGGCCAACTTGGGCTGTGGTGTCTCAGGCTGAGAGGACTGACGGATCCCCTTGAAGACACCTCTAAGAGCCGTTTCTGCCAACGTGGAGATGAAGTGAACGGCCTCGTTGCAGAGCTGGAGCCTTTGGACGAATTTTCACAAAGCTTTGATTGTGAGTGCTCACCAGATTTTCCCAAGCCTCCGCGAGTGGGGTTGGATCTGGAGGCTAGCGTCGCAGTCCATCTGTCTAGGCATGGCTTACAGGGTCAGTGTTTGCCAAACCCTGAAGTACCTGACTCCATAAGCATGGCCATGGACTGTTCTCCGTGGGAGCTCGAGAAGGTCTCGTGCGTCGCGCCTCCGGAATCCTTTGTTGTTTGCGACATGGATGCTGCATATACGAGAGGTCATGGCAAAGTGCATATTCTCACAGAAGATCGCTGCTTCACCTCCGATCGCTGTCAGTATAAGTTGCAAGACCGCTTCTTGAAGCTGGTGGGCCTTCGGCTGGCAGCAACGGTGGGTCTTCCGATGGACCTGTGGCTGGGCCGTGTGAGACCTTTGTTGTTGCCACGCCCTCGCCGAATTGCCGGATTCGCTCGCCCTTTGGGCGAAGCCCCCAAGCCATTGCCATGAAGCGCCGTGGCACAATTTTCTGAAGCGCCGAGTGCATCAAAATCTGTATGGCTTTAACCTCGGCAGCTTTAGCCCGCCGCCCTGGGGCGCTTCGTTAAAACGGTGCTTGGCTTGCAAACTACTGGAAGCCGAAACGATTTCCGAAGATACAACCCGAAATCATAGATTATATGAAAATTATATGCCCCAAGAACTAAAGGATCTGGAAATCGAATCATATTCTGTGCCACACTACACTGTTCTGCGGAAATATATAAGGCGAATACGATCATCTAGAGAGGGAACGAACGCTACCCGTTTTTTTTTCAGCTAGTCAAGAGCGTGCGAAGAACAAAACTATGGCTTTTTCCGGGATTTTTGGCAAGGTCGGAATTCCGACCTTGCTTCCGATCGTTGCAAAACGCTCATTTTGTTCGTCAAAAGACGGCTCTTTATATTATTGTTCCTATTCAAAACGATTCCTTATGTTGATTAGTAGATTAGATTATCTCCATACAACTCCGGTACTAGGATATTAAAAGTAAAAGATCTATCTTGGATTTATTAATTTAATTCTGTATTTATTAGTATTCATATATCTAGTTCTATTTTTTAAATTATCAAGTATATATCTACATATAGAATATAGTAATCGATAAATTTTAGAAGATATATATTGTTGAATTTCGAAACATTACATATGAGATATGATATTAGTGTCCGACATTGGTCCCCGCTGAGCGGACGTTGGACTAGGTAGGGATGGAGGAGGAGGGGGGCCGGTTCGGGTTCTTGCAATTGAATTGAAATTATCTATTTTCTAAAATTTTCTCTCTTCTCAAGAAAAACGATATTTATATTTCTTGATTATATAAAATTCATAGGATTATATATTATTTTTGATTTTCTTTATAATATTTTCTAAGGAATAATTGATATAGATTTTAATATCTATTCAATGAGAAATAGATTCTTTTTACGGTTATTGTATTAGTAATTATACGGGCAAATTTATTATCTGCTCTATCTATTTGATATTTAATTTAATAAGAGAAAATTTGGAAATGAAATAATATATTATATCGAATTTTATTAGGTATATTTAAGGCTGAATTATAAATTGTATTTAATTCGATCTTTTAGAAATTTTGTCTTATTTATAGGTTTTTTATAATATTTTTTTGATAATGTTGATTCTATAATTATCGATTTATGAAAAGAATTTTATGAAAATATTTTGATTGATTTATTTCTTTGAAATATTAGATATCGATTCTATTATTTCTAATGTATAG